TTTTTCTTTTGGTAAACATTGAAAATGTGTCCCACAGACCCCAACACCACACAAGGGTTAAATAATGTTAGAAGCAAGCCCAGTTGGTAATTATATGGTAATTACATTATCAACAGGGAAAAAGCAGGCTATGGATGAGGCTTCACAACAATCACATGAGGTACTTCATAACTGAATTCTAATCATAATGATTATGTTTATTGCAAAAATGCCGATGATAACTGTTTAAATGTACATTATACCTCAATTAATCAGGACTGGCATTCAATATATCAAGTTCTCATTACTGGCGTTAAAAACAAAACATGGTATCATGATATCTTAAATGATGATGATGATGATTATTATTATTATTATCATTATTATTATTATTATTATTATTACATAATGTGGTCTGGAATCCACATAAAGTGTCTGTATACCTGTGTGACTCAGACTTAATCTCATAGAGCTCCTGAGGTTCAAAGACTGCATTGTAAAAAATGATGAATGACTTCCTTTGTACTGGAACCCCATTCAAAAAATTGGCCATATTTCATTCCCCCTCCATATCACATGGACGATGAAAGAAACAGTGGATGACTTAGTGCAGATGGACCCCCAGATCCTCTATCTTTTGGAGGGCCAGGGGTTTATCCAAAACTTCATTATTCATCAACTCTCAAATCCTCTCTCTTTTTTACATCGCTGTCTTTCAAAGAACGTACCTTTCTGATCTTCCGGAAGCATTCTCGAGTGCAGCTTAGCATCCCGGACACTCACTCTTTCATCTACATCTTTGCAAAGGCCTTGACTTATCCTTCAAACCGCTCCAGAATCACACCACATTGTCCTCTCAGATTCCACAGTGACCTTTCAGGAGCTGCGAGGGAATCTGATAAAGTGCCATGCCAAAAGCACAAAATGCGATAAAGGGAGAGGAGTTCTGATCCATTCCCAATGTGAGTCTCGCCATTAGCGTGCAATACGTTGCTCTTTTTTCTACTCCTGTCCTTCTTGTTCCCACCAATAAATGTCCTGTGTGATTATGTAGGTTTTGACATTTCCCCCTACGCTGACCTTTCACACTTGGCTGCTGACACGAGGTCTAATAATCACACTGTCCTCATGCCACACAAAAGCCTGCGACAAGAAAAAGGTTAAACACAGAGCAGCGACTGATATGTGACATTCCACACATATGTAACTCAGCCAGATGGGGTAACACAAAGATATGCAAGCTAAGAGTCTTTCCTGAATATGGATACAAGGAGATAGAAGAGATAAAACAAGCATGTGAGACAATTCAGGAAGGCGGCTAGCAGCATTTTTTCCCCCATAGTGACTGTTCTGGGCTCTTAGTTATATGATAAGAGACAAGCACAAGCTCAGTGTTGGGGTGAGCACTCTGAATACTGAATACACCATCCTAAATGTATTCAGCAATGTATTCCACTACAATACATATAAAGTAACAGCCTCAGAGTAGGTTTGGAACACATTTAGAATACATAATGATAAGGCACATGGGAAGAACTCTGCTGTTGTACTTTTTATTTAACTCACACTGTTCCATGCTGTTACTGGTTCATTTTCTTCATGTGATTCCTCTGTTATTATGATGGAAAATGAACTCAGTTCCATCATCCCTTAAAGGAGTTTGGTAATGCTGCGAAAAATAAGTAGCTAATCACATTGATTTATCAGTCTACTCAGGCTTTAGTAGAGCTCAGTAACACTGAGATTAATAACTGATCATCACATTGATTTATCAGTCTACTCAGGCTTTAGTAGAGCTCAGTAACACTGAGATTAATAACTGATCACATTGATTTATCAGTCTACTCAGGCTTTAGCAGAGCTCAGTAACACTGAGATTAATAACTGGTCATCACATTGATTTATCAGTCTACTCAGGCTTTAGTAGAGCTCAGCAACACTGAGATTAATAACTGATCATCACATTGATTTATCAGTCTACTCAGGCTTTAGCAGAGCTCAGTAACACTGAGATTAATAACTGATCATCACATTGATTTATCAGTCTACTCAGGCTTTAGCTGGAACATCAGTGTTTGTAAAGAAGTTATTTTTTGGTTCTTTACTAAGTACCTCTTTACGCTTACACACCATGCACTGTTTTTAAAATAGTTTTTAATTATATATATATATTTTTTATTTTTTTAAAGATAAGCATCCCAAAAACTTATTCTGAATAGTATTCTATTACATTCCAACCCTCTGCAGGCTTCAGAATAAAATTAGTTTACCAACTAAAATTAGTAGATGGCCACCAAGAAAGGAGCTACACTCTACACTACAATGCATATGTTACTAGTAAATACCCTGTGCTATATATGAAAGGACTAGCCAATTCACAAAATGTGAGATGAGAAAGTCATTACGTTGCAGTCAATTTATTAAATTAATCTACATAGCTATATATACTGCTACCCTTTACATATTTTACTAGACCACAGTTGCTAACAACCTCGTGGCTAGCTAGCTAGCAAGATAAGTTACCCAGCTTAAGTTAGCAGATAACCAGCTTTATATATTCAAGCAGCACTCCAGAAAAGCAACCCAAACTACAAATTTCAACCATTAACACACTTATACTAGATTACGCCAGCTAGTTAATTCACAAAAAAGACTGAGGCAGTGTCAGTTGAGAAATGCTAAAGCCCACTGCAGTGGTGGTACATACCAGGACTGTCTGGGAAACCAACGGCACTGGGCTACATCCAACAGAATACATTTTTACATCACACTACACTATTTTAAATAAGTAAAAAGATAACTGTAGTAAATGCCAGATTCTCAAATCAATCTTATGTCTCCCACATCCATCAGGGGGCACTCAGCATGAATTATTAAGCCCCCCAAAGCACACTACATTTAAATCAGTGTTTCTCAGCTTTGGGGTTACAACCAATTGTAGTGAAAGGAAATGTCTGTAACTGCTTAGCCAAGTAGCTTCACTAACTCATAAATATGATAAGGATATTTGTAGCTTACCATTCTGCAAAGCTCCCCCATTTGGAGTGTTGGCTTGTCAGAAAAGTCTGCCATGTGAAGCAGATCATTTGGTTACAAACTCAAACAAAGACCACCCATTAATTAGGGGTCCCTCTATCACACAATGCTTCCAAGCTGGGAGGGTGGAGGCTAGCACATGCTTTGTCCAAGAAACATGGAGCAGCATTACATGTTTTTAAAGTGCTGCTAACACAACATCATTGCACAGCTCAGCACGCTTGGAGGAGAACACTAACATTTCATTCTGTTACATCAGCAAAAAGACACCCGTATTGGCTAGTGTTGCGCTGAAGCTGGGTGGGGGGCTGGGGGTTCTCAGAGGAAGAGCCATCTTGCCTATGAATGGCTGCAACATCTCCAGGGACTGAACTTGTGATGTCCTGTAGGGCCAGTGCTTACTGCATGCAATTTTTAAAGAGCATGTCCAAAGTTTTATCTTCTTCACTTACATTGTGGTAGGTTAAAGTCTTCATTCAGGGGTTAAACCCTCTGTAATCCACACCCTGAAAAATACTTAGAGCTTATACCCAGAGCCTCACAGCATGCTACCCTCCTGGGTCTTATTATGAAAGATATCTTGTGAAAAGCAATGCTTTTAGTACAATGAATGAACTAAATATGTTCTGTGTTTGTGTGCAGCACTTATCGGGCAATAGCAAAAGCTCAGATAACAGCAACAGCCAGAACCTAATCTCTGTAGAAAGATAGCAGTCTGCCTGTCTTAATACTCAGTCTGTAATCCAAAGAGTTATTAGTGAGCAGGTACTATGACTTACCCATTGATTATCATGTTAATCAATCAAATTTTAAGATTGTGCGTGATTACCAATTGCAGTTTCAGGAGTTATGTTAGTGTTGCAGTACTCTTTAGAACTTTTCGTAGCATTTATATTATGTACAGAATAAAACATGTTCATGTCATAGTTGGTTCTAAAAAATTAAAATAATAAAGATTAGGCAAAATAACTAAATAATAAGTTGGAGATAAAGGGCTTCAGTCCTTAAGCTTCACTGTATGTTTACATACTGAGGCTTGTTATTCAATATCTATGCAAAATTAATGAGTTATTCTTAAGTTACAGAAGTATGAACGGCTGGAATATTAAAGGATTAAGGGTGTATTGAAAGCCCCATACATAACTTCATCATAATCCTTTGAAATATCTGTGATGCCATTATTAAGTGCTCTTTTAAATGTCAACGTCTGGAGTTGGAGAAGAGTGGGCAACCCAGAGCTGGAGCTTCAGGTAGACTAGACATATTAAGTTATCATAAATGGCACGATAACAAGCCTCACTATCTGCTGTTGATGAGATGTGGGGAGATTTTTGTATCACTGGAATTTGTAATAAAAGAGTCTCAAAATAGCATCTAACACCAACCTAGACAAACAGAGAGTCAGGAAAGTCAAATCAATAAGGAGACACTAAAGGGAAGAGAAACAAAGAAAGTAGGAATAGTACAAAAAGAGAATTTAGGGCCAGGACGCACTACAACAGCAGCAGAATCAAATGTACTCTTCGTTTCAGGTGTTTTACTTCAGACAAATTCTACATATTCATGAGATTCTGCTGATGTGGGTTCATGCCAGTTTCCTCTCTTTCAATGCTGCATGCAAAAACTAGCCTGCTTAATGTGATTGAGGAAGTGAGTGAGTGGGTGAGAATTTCTCTGTTGTAGCCCTTGGATCAGAATAAAATGTGAAAAAATAAAACAGAAGCGTCATAATAAAGCATATTTCATATGGCTCACAGCATTACAGCTGAGAGAACAGAAAAGGAGACAGAGAAAATAAGAAAATTGTGTTTAGTTTGGACAAGCTGGTCACCAGCAGAGGAGAAAGCAGCAGCCCGAGGGAGGGAGAATTAAACATTGAATAAACTCACTAAGGAAGAGACTGGGTGAAAAATCAAAGGAGACGCAGGAATAAATTAAACAAGTTTACAGAGAGCAAAAGTGAAAGTAAGAAGCTGGAAACTGACCGCAGTTCTCTTCGTCGGCCTGGTTCCCGCAGTCGTCCACACCGTTGCAGTGCAGGAGCTGAGGCAGACAAGTGCTCAGGTTACCACAGGGAAAATATCCCAGAGGGCAATGGGAGCGCTCCTCTGACACGTTAAACATAGTCAGAGCCACTGCAAGAGAGAGCGAGAGAGCGAAAGAGAGAGAGAGAGAGAGAGAGAGAGAGAGAGAGAGAGAGAGAGAGAGAGAGAGAGAGAGAGGCAGACAGGGGGAGAAACAGAGACACAGAAAGATCAGTTGTCTTTATGGTTATGGCACTTTGTAGTTCTACAATTACAGACTGTAGTCCATCTGTTTCTCTGCATACTTTGTTAGCCCTCTTTTACCCTGTTCTTCAGTGGTCAGGACCCCCAAGGACCCTCACAGAGCAGGTACTATTTGCATGGTAGATCATTCTCAGCACTGCAGTAACACTGACGTGGTGGTGGTGTGTTAGTGTGTGTTGTGCTGGTCTGAGTGGATCAGACACAGCAGTGCTGCTGGAGTTTTCAAACACCTCAGTGTCACTGCTGGACTGAGAAGAGTCCACCAACCAAAAATATCCAGCCAACAGCGTCCTGTGGGCAGCGTCATGTGACCACTGATGAAGGACTAGAAGATGACCAACACAAACTGCGCAGCAGCAGATGAGCTATCGTCTCTGACTTTACATCTACAAGGTGGACTGACAAGGTAGGAGTGTCTAATAGAGTGGACAGTGAGTGGACACAGTGTTTAAAAATTCCAGCCGCACTGCTGTGTCTGATCCACTCAGACCAGCTCAACACACACTAACACACCACCACCACGTCAGTGTTACTGCAGTGCTGAGAATGATCCACCACCCAAATAGAACCTGCTCTGTGAGGGTCCATGGGGGTCCTGACCACTGAAGAACAGGGTAAAAGAGGGCTAACAAAGTATGCAGAGAAACAGATGGACTACAGTCTGTAATTGTAGAACTACAAAGTGCACCTATATAGTAAGTGGAGCTGATAAAATGGACAATGAGCGTAGAAACAAGGAGGTGGTCATAATGTTATGCCTGATGGGTGTATATGTTTGAATCTGAACCTCTGACATTTTTACATCATAAAGATAAAGAAAGAAAGAAAGAAAGAGACAGATATACATACATATATATATATATATATATAGAGAGAGAGAGAGAGAGAGAGAGAGAAAGAATATATATATATATATATATATATATATATATATATATATATATATACAGTGGTGTGAAAAAGTGTTTGCCCCCCTTCCTGATGTCTTATTCTTTTGCATGTTTGTCACACTTTAATGTTTCAGATCACCAACAAATTTAAATATTAGACAAAAATAACACACGTAAACACAAAATGCAGTTTATAAATGAAGGTCTTTATTATTAAGGGAAAAAGAAATCCAAACCAAAGTTAAGTGCAATATATCCATGAACTGTGCAGGAAGCTGGATCATCAGCTCTTCTTAATCTCTCTCATAACTATACAAAATACACTGTAAGTTCATAAGTTTATCCAGCTTTTCTTCTGAAATGAAGGGTATTGATAGGAAGTTTGTCCTCCTTTGCTGCAGCAACAGCCTCTACTCTCCTGGGAAGTCTTTACACTACATGTTGTCACATTGCTGTGAGGATTTGACTGCCTTCAGCCACAAGAGCATTAGTGAGGTCTGGTACTGAGGTTGGATGATCAGTTCTGGATCACTCCAGCTCATCCCAAAGGTACTGGATGGTGCTCCATCACTCCAGGGAACGCAGTTTCACTGCACCACAGCCCAATAATGGGGGGCTTTATACCCCTCCAGAAGTTTCATTTGTTACATTGGGCATGCAGTTTTAACATCACTACTCCACACTCAGTGCAAGACACAGATCTGTAGGGAGAAAATAGTTCTGCAGAATAAATGGTGGTGTCGACTTGAAGGATTGCTTCCACCTAGTGTAACCCTAAAGGAGACAGGGAAGTCGATTTGTTTTACAGAGTTTTTTCTTCGTGAGCGTGGGAGAGCGGTGAGTAAGCAGCACATGTGCAGAACCTGCAGCGCTGGAGGGCCACAGCAGTGCATACTTTAAAGATTCCACTACAACTCACAGCTGCCTGGATCTTGGATGGTTTACCATGGTGTTTTTTTAATTAAAAAGAATGAGGATGCACTCATATGGGAATTGTGGGTGAATGCTGCATATTTTTCAGAGATCTGATATGTCATGTACATATCTGTCAATGCTGATCCCACTGCTGATACATCAGCACTGGGAATGCCTCTATATGGAGCTGCATTGAAGATTTTAGCACAGAAGCCCAACATCACCTAAACATTCTGCTCTTTCAGAGTACAAGAGACATCCGTTTGAAATTTCTGCCAAACCTAAACATCTGTATGATGCTAATGTTAGAAAAAAAAAAATCAAATATTTTATACCAATATGTATCTACAGATACCAACATGATTTTGATATTGTGCATCCTAAATAAGAACACAGGCCTACAAACGTACAAAATCTTCTTTCTTGGTATAATAATAGAGAAGGTATTTCTGTTCAGTTCATTATCTCAATGTAAATATATTGTAAATAAATATCAAATAATTATTTTCATTTGGCTTTCAGGCCCAACACAGTACCAAGACAGCTCTTCTTAAAATGGCAAATGACTTTAGAGTTTTTAGAGAAACAGGTAGCCCTTCTATCTGGGTTCTTCTTGATATTTGTACAGCTTTTGATACAGTGGACCATGTAATTTTACTTAACTGTCTTCAAAATTGGGTTGGACTCTCTGAAACACTCTGTGAGTGGCTCAGATCATATCTAAGTAACCGTGAATACAATGTCTCACTGGGCACTTTTGTTTTGGAGCGCCTCATGTTGTTCTGCGGGGTCCCACAGGGGTCAATATTGGGCCCTCTGCTTTTTAAATTATACAAGTTTTAATTTTTTACCAGTATGCAGATGATACACAGCTTTATTTGTTTTTAGCCCCTGATGCCCATCAGGGTATTAACTTTCTGTCAGTGAAACTAAGCAATAATGTTAGCAATTTAGGTGTCATTTTTGATCATAATCTCAGCCTTAAGAAGCATATTAATAATATTTGCAAAACAGTTTGTTATCATCTGCATAACATCTCTAAGGCCTTCGGCTTTCTTTTAACCTCTGATTGTGAGAAGCTGGTTCATGGCCTTGTGTCAATCAGACAGAATTATTGTAATGCACTGTTCTCTGGTTTAACTAAGAGCTCTATAATTCATGTACTGTGAAAAGGAGAGGCGATTCAATGCCTGTTCTTTAAGACTTTACTGGTTACCTGTGTCTTCTAGGATTGATTTTAAAATACTAAAATTTAGTTTTTAAGGGCATTTTCACACGAGTGCTTTTTACCAGACCCAGAACCACTTGCTGCTTGTACGTTTGGTCAAGTTTGAAAGCTGTGCTTTCAAGCGTGGGAGAAGTGCAGAGAACTGACCTCTAGTCCTCCTGAAATCGTTGGTCTGTTGCTCGGTTTCAGTATACTCTGCTGGAAGCTATCTGCTCCCTGTGCCACATGTGGGGTTGCATGACTGTTTCATTTTGCAACTGGACTGCTCTGAAATATCGCATTACCTCCCTTTTCAAGGTTTGTGATAGCGCTGTTGTTTGCCACTTGAGTGTTTGTAGCCAAAGAAAATAATAAAAAGCAGCAAGTGGGTGAATCTAATGTCAACCATTTTGCCACCTTGAATGCAGAAAAGTGACATACAGAGTTGTGCAATTGATATACAATTTGGGTGTGTTTTCAGGGGGAGATGAGGTAATGCCATTTTACCACAGGACATTTGTAATGCTTATCACCACCTGGTGATAGGGCTGGTGATGGGCTTGATACAAATGACAGAGATGGAAACACCAGCTCAGTTTTCACACTGCCTGCAGAAACTGCAGAAACTGACTCCAGAAGTGACCAAAAACACAGAAAAAACATTTAGCCAATATTTTGTTAACCCTTGCCATGAATGCACTGTGTCATTTGCATTATCATTAGCTGTGTAATTCACAGCCAACAGTCAACAACACCACATAAAATCAAACGTTTTTCCTGTTGTTTTACACGTTTTAATGTCCTGAGGTATTCACCTGAGGTATGGCAGTAGATACTGGCTGAATTTAAAGCTACGTTCACATTACAAGCCTTATTGCTCAAATCCGATTTTTTGCTCAAATCTGATCTCTCTGACAGGATGGTTCACACTCGTTTCGGTAAATCTGTCATTAATGGGAACAAATCGGCGTCCTGAAATGACCCGCATGCGCACATCCCACTCAGTAGCTTCACATCCATCATCAGCAAACAAACTAACGCGTAGACTCGCTGCGAAGAAAATTAACTCTGATCAGCTCTCAGCTGCTCATTATTAGAGTGAGGCGAATGCGAAAATTGTAAAAAGTGTTGCTTTTCCACCGTTTACAAGGTTCAACTTCTGTTCGGCGCTGCTGCCAGAGTAACACTGAATGATGGCGCATGTGCAGTAGGAAAAAAGCACATGAATTCTGACCTGAGCATCACATTAAGGTCGCATGGCCATGAATCGGATCTAGGACCACATATGAAAATGGCTCAGGTCAGATTTGAAAAGATCAGATTTGCATGTCCACACAGCTCTGAAAACATCAGATCTGAGTCATATTAGGGCAAAAAATCAGATTTGTGCCACTTCAACCTGGTAATGTGAACGTAGCCTTAGACACAGAGAACACAACATATCTTGCTTCATAATTGAGAAACAGAGTGATCACATTTTTACCGAAATGTCGATTCACATGGAATTAATATAAGTTGAGGTTATTTCTACTGTTTGTTTTAAAATAGAAAAGTGTGCAGACTGTAAAAATTACTGGCATAGCGCATTTGGATGGGACCATAATCGGCACCACCTCAGCCAACTAGCTGAACAAACAAACAAACAAATAAATGATTAAATAAAAACCCTCCTCCAAGTGTTTACTCCAAAACACTTCCACCTTAAAGCTACTTCATTAAAAGGGGGTTTTCCCAAGTCTTTAAAGCAGGAAATCTAACTTTAGAAGCCACTGCAGCACCACTGTAAAAGGCATCAGCATCTGCCAGTGTATTAATAAATATTTCATGTAACAACT